CGAAATTGAAGTGTTTGAGAACTCATGTAGGGTCATCGTTCTTCAGAAGCTTAAATGGGGTCACGTCGGTCAATAAATCTAGCTCTGCGTGGAGCAGGCCGTTTTCGAGGTGGATCCAACCATGCGCACACCAGTCCTTCATATGCGAAATGAGTGGGGGTCATAACTACAGTAGCGTGCTACTTCCTCCGCTCAAAAGTTCGCCGGAACGGGGCAGCTGGGTGGTGATACCTAGGTGACGTCCGCTCTGCTGAGCGGTCGGCAGCACGCCCTTCTAAAGCTAATTGTGCTGTTTGTCTGCACTCTCAAGTCTGCTGGTTCGCTACCTTTGGCTGTGTATTCGCTGCGAGACTGCGGCGTCGACACGAGCACTGCACTTCGGGGTAGCGTAGGAAGGATCTCAAACGGCACACGGGTGTCACCACCCTTCAGTCTCATTTCCACGTTGAATCATATTCGCTGGGTAGTCTGACCGAACTCCCTTCCACCAGTGACATTTGGACTTTTACCCGGTTCCCTTCAAAGGCGCGCACTGCCTTTGACCAGCGCTGGTGTTCGATTTCGTGAGGGTTAGTGACTGTTATACCCGTGCACTTTCCACTGAGGAACAATTTTTGGTTGCACAAGAACACTGTGAATATATCACAACACCACACAATATATGTATTGTTCTTATATCACAGTGATGATCCCATTGGCTTTGCTTTCACACTTCATTACGTTTCATTCGCACGTAGCCCTTGAAGGGACAAGGCTCATTTTGGTACTCGGTCTGAAGTGGTAGCAGGAGCGCTATAGGGTAGGAATATGGCAAAAATGTGGAATGAATGGTTAAAAATCTGCAAGAAAACTCTGTTCTTCGCAACGCAATTTCGGATGAGTTATCCGTTGGCATCGCGCCAACAACTGCTACTGTAGATACGGTTGAAGTAGGCACTCATCTATTCATACAGCCACGCGCCGCTTGATATCAATCCCTTGGATTCGTATTGCACTTCGCGAACGAAGCCATACGGACATCAGCATCGGTCGTCCATTTGTGGGTGGGCGCTTGCAGCTTGATAGGGCGCTATGAGAGCACTTTCCTCGGAAAAGGCGCCACGCAGCGCCTGCTCAGGGTTGCCGAATTCTGTCCTGCTAGGCGTATTACTCCTACACGCCTTGAGGATTTACCGTGCCACTTACCGTTAAAATAAGCATAGACGGTGGCCGTTTCCATTCGGTTTAATTTTTTACGGGCGATTTCGCCTCATATATCCGCGTACATATTCACTTCGGACAAATTTAAGGTAGTCTACGACAAATCCTTCTGTGAACAAAAAGCTTTCGAAATGAGTATCAAATGGTTCATGGCTACTGGGCAGACAGTCGCGGATACTGTTTATACATGGCAGTCCAAGGTGAAATTGCCTTATATGTTAACAGTGACATTGCGGCTAATGCCGTTTGGACTCCAGAAATTTCGGCACCGAGCTCATTTTTAAATTGCCTAAGTCACCAAATCCGCTAAAAACTTGTATATAGGGGTAGTTTAACATCCTGATTACGAATATGACATTCACTCTTGTCGCTGGCGCCAAGAGAGGACACTACGATTACCTCCTGTGC